CCCCACAATTTTTTTAAATTGGGATCTTCAGCTAGGTTATTTCCGTTTCTTTATGTTTTCACTAGCTTAGAACCTGTTTGATTCGATTACCTTTAGAATGACTTTGGCCTCCAAACTTGTGTTCAGACATGCTTGAATGCTTCGAATAGGTTTATTCAATTTTTTTTATTTTTTATTTTCGTTGATACTTAAGTACTAGTATTTATTTCGGGGAGGGGGAGGTTTTATATTTTAATTTGTCTATTTTGTTGAATTTCGAAGTATACTAGATTTTTCTGGAAAACATGAAAAGAAGATAGATGAGAAAACTTAGTAAAGAAAAATATTTGGTGTTGTCTATTTAAGAACTTAAGCATGTGTTTTTATATTTATAATTTATTTCCTTGTCTATTCTAGTCTCATTCTGGTTTCCCTCTAGGCTGATTTTGTTTTTCATAAATGAGCTCTTTCTTGATCCTTCTACGCTGTAATTTTCATGAAATTCAAAATGTGACTAAGTTGTTTGTTTGGCTTTTGAAAGCTTTTTTTCCTGACGAAATATGAATATTCTACCCTTGTCCCAAACAAACTGTCACGTCTGACTTGGCATGAAAATTAAGGGACAGTTGAAGTTGTCTATTGATCAGTTTTAAGTGAAAAGCAGATGTTGGGCATAGAAATAGATATAGGTCGATTAAGTGGTAAAAAATCTGCCTCGTGTATTGTTTATTGCTATAGGATAATCAGTGGAAGTTTCTTTTCTGGAGAGTGGAGATTGTTTTGACATGTTCTAAAACAATCTGGGCATTCAATTTGGTATTGAGGGAGTAATTGTATATTAATAAAACAAAAAATAAATTTTATGAGTGCAGCATAACTGTGTGCGCGCGGCGGGGATTGGGGGTAAGTGATGAATTACTGAATGCTCAATTGCTTGTAGCCCCTTTTCCCTTTCACCCGAGAAGCGAATCGTGACCGTGCATCTCAACTAGTGATATGCAAAGTTAATTCTATTACTGGATATAGTGCTTTCACATGCTACATTTTTAACCTGCTTTGGTTATGAACTATAGGGACAAAGTCATGGGTAAAATTTCAGAGGATTTATGGAATACAATCAGAACTGGTGATGGCATTCAAACTGAGATAACCCAAACTGTTCAATCAGTTTACAATAAGTTATTGAACCCACAACTAAATGAAGCTGGTGAATCATCCTCTCATTCAGAATTGCAGCCTGCTCCGAATGGAGTTGAAACTAACGGACATAGTGCTGCTTCAGACCGTGGTATTGATGCCACATTTTCTGTTGATCCAGAGCCAAGTGAACCTCCTGGTTTTGCCCGATTAGGTTCAGATCAGAATAGCAAAAGTAACTGTTCAAATCAGATTAACAAAACTAACCATAAGGAATCGCCCAAAGAGGAATCAGGATTTCCTATTCCTGCTGATGGAAAAGCCAGAGAAACACATACCGAGCCGGAGACGAATGGCGCACCTGACCCTTTGGTGCCTGACAGTATGGATGTGGATGCACCACCTGGCTTTGCTATTGTCACGAAGGAGAAGAATCCAGATGATGTTGATGATGAAGATCCTGATGTGCCTCCAGGATTTGGCTAATCGCTTATTAAGTTATTATACTTCTGGTAGTGTTTTTTGGAAAAGGTTAGCCAATTCAGTTGGTCATTGTCGTATCAAGTTCAAACAGCTCGTGTTGACACTTACAGAGAGTACTTTACGTTGACTGCGCCGGCTAGCAGCTCATGACTTCTCTTTCTTCAATTTCCCAAGGTTAGAAGCCTTAACTATGTCATTTGTGTATGATCTTGGATTAAAGATTACTACTACCAAAATTCAGATGCTTCAAATATGAGCGTTGTAGATGACACGATGTCTTGGTGTAAGATCTAGTCTAGTATAAACTAAGTTATTTTGTTGGTTCTTCAGATGTTAACTTTAATATTACTTCCTAACTTGTACAAAGACAACACCTTTTTGCCTTTGTGTTTTGCCTTTTAAATGTTGTTTCTTTAGCTGGGTTTGTTTTTCCGAAATTTCTAGGAATTGATGCTGTGGATTGGACAAAGGAAAATTAGTTGCTCATACCAATTGGCAAGAAGGTATTCTTTGTAAATGCATTTGCGTGATTTACTCAGCAATTTATTTTTTCCTCTTGGTTACAAAGGGACTGACAGCATTATGCCCTGGTGAGGTGCCACTTTCCTCTTATGGATAATTATACCAGAGAAGAAAACTACTAGGATTTTGTGAGTTATTCATATCTATGATATGGCACAAATACAATTCCTGCTCTTGTGATAGTCCGAAACATTTGCACAGTAAAATTTGTAGGATCAATGTATGTAGGATCCTATGAGCCGAGGGTTTATCTGTATCAACCTCTCTACCTCATACAAGGTAAGGGTAAGGTCTGCGTACATCCCACCCTCCCCAGACTCCACATGTGGGATCGTACTATGTATGTTATTATTTTTGTTGCAATGTATGTAAAGCTTTATTATTAAAGTATATGACCATCTTATCTAAAAGCTTAAGTTGTTAGTGAGAACACACTTCTACTTAATAATATCACCAACATGCTACATAAGAGCTTTGATTCTTTTTGTTGGTCCAAGGACATGGAAGTTCTTTTGGTGAATTGTGGCGGCGAGATTTAAACTTAGGACCTCTATGTTTTTGGTACCATGTTAAATTGTGTGCCCACCTCATATCTAAAAGCTTAAATTGTTAGAAAGGACATTTTATTACTTAATTATATCTTTTAGTATATATTTCTCTCTTATTCTATTTCTAAGTTGTTTATATCTGCTACATGAGGTGATGACATTTTATTGACCAAGTCTATGGATAATGCAGGTATACAACACTAACTTTAGGTACAAGAAGTGTTACTTATTGGTTTTAGAAAGTTCAAGTATGGTGGTTGGAATTTGAAATTAGGTTCGTTTGCCACTCTTGTAATATGATTCGGTTTTTTACAACATGGAAAGATAGGCTTTTCCGAAGGTCTATCGGAAGCAGTCTCTCTACTTCTACAAGGTATGAGTAAGGTCTGCGTACACACTACCCTCCCTTGAATCTTCGCTGGGTATGTTGTCGTTTTGTTGTTTGAAAGTTAGGGTTTCGCAATTACTTGATCTATTTAGTTTTAGCAGTTTCGTTTAAAACATTGTATTACCATTTTAGTTGTTAATGAAATAACTGTCATTTAATTGTGTTACTGGCTTTATTTTTCTCATGTGGGTAAGCCCAAATATAACTAACAACTGACTAGGGTAAGTCAAACAATAGAAAGAATGCAATCAAAAGTATAGTCCAGACCATACATAGGTGGGCTGTTACAAGACACTGTTGTAGGGATGGAAAAAGAACCACTAAAGATCCTGTCTAAGCGAGTTCAACCTGAACTTGTGCCTTCAATTAAAATCGATCTGAATTTATTTTGCACTCAACTCTAACTCATATTGATTTAACACCCAGCCCTAACAAAAGCTGAGCGTGCAAGGTTCTACTGACCTGTTTAACAAGATCTTGCCTTGGATGCAATGAAAGTCAGGAGTTCCCATGGAAATTCAGATGGAGTTAAGATCGGTCAGAAGAGCTTTCAAGTAAAGGCCTGGCCAGATTTAACATGCCAATAGAAGTCTAGTAGCAAAAATCAACCAAGATATATATTTTCAATTTTGCCGGTCCATCAAAGACGACCTAAGGAATATTAGTCTATCGCCTCGTCATGACCGTTCCTCGTTTTTTGGCATTTTAGGGTCATAAAATTAGAATTGCGTCCAATTCCTAGATTTTCATTTGTTACAGCCTACACCACCTATATGGATCCGGGCGTCCGGACTCGAACTGTCTAAAATTTGGCTGGCCCATTAGAGACGACCTAAGGAACATTAGTCATCGCCTCGCCATGATCGTTCCTCATTTTTTGGTGTTTTAGGGCCATAAAACTAAAATTTCGCTCGATTCTTAGATTTTCATGTGCTATAGCCCAATCCATCTGTATGGGTTCGAACGCCGGATCCGAATCGCCTAAAATTTTGCCGGCCCATCAAAAACGAGCTAAGGAACATTAGACCTAGCCTTGCCATGATTGTTCCTCGTTTTTTGGTGTTTTAGGGCCATAAAATAGGAATTCCATCCAATTCCCAAATTTTCGTCTGCTATAGCTCACGCCGCATGCATGGATCCAGGCAACCGGTCCTGAATCGCCTAAAATTTTGCCGGCCCATCAAAAAAAATACATAAGAAACATTAGTCATCGCCTCACCTTGACCGTTCCTCATTTATTGGCGTTTTAGGGCCATAAAACTGAAATTGCGCCCGAATCATAGATTTTCGTGTGCTATAGCCCATGCCACCTGCATGGGGTTAGGGCGTCCGAACCCGAATCGCCTAAAATATTGCCGGCCTATCAAAGGCAACCAAAGGAATAATGGTCACCGCCTCGCCATGACCGTTACTCGTTTTTGTCATTTTAGGGTCATAAAACTAGAATTATGCCTCATCCAAGATTTACGTGTGCAGCCCACGCCTTCTACATGGGCCCGGGCCACCAGACTCGAATCGCCTAAAAATTTTTCGAGCCATTAGAAACGTCCTAAAGAACAATAGTCATTCTATCGCCATGACTGTTACTCGTTTTTTGGCGTTTTAGGGTTATAAAACTTGAATTCCGCCTGATTCCCAAATTCTCATGCGCTATAACTCACGCCTTCTACATGGGCCCCGACCATCGGACCCAATCCGTCTAAAATTTTGCCGGCCCATGAAACACGTCCTAAGAAACAATAATCACCGCCTCGCCGTGACCGTGACTCATTTTTTGCGTTTTAGGGCCATAAAAATGAATTTTCGCACGATTCCCAGATTTTTGTCTGCTATAGCCACACCTTTATGGGCTTGGGTCACCGAACCCGCACTGCCTAAAATTTTGCTGGCCCATCAAAAACATCCAAAGGAACAATAGTCACCACCTCGCCGTGACCTTTACTACGTTTTGGGGGCCGTAAAACTAAAATTCCGCCCGATTCCTAGATATTCATGTTCTATAGCCCACGACTTCTGCATGTGCCCGGGTCACCGGACCCCGATATCCTAAGAATTTGCCGGCCCATCACGTCATAAGGGATAATAGTCACCGCCTCGCCATGAACGTTACTTGTTTTTTGGCGTTTTAGGGCCATAAAACTGAAATTCCGTCCGATTTTCAAATTTTCGTGTGTTATAGTCCATGACTTGTTTTGCATGGGCCCGGTCCATCGGACCCGGAACACCTTAAATTTTGCCAGCCCATCAAGAACGTCCTAAGGAAAAATAGTCACCCTTCGCCATGACCGTTACTCATTTTTTAGCGTTTAAGGGTCATAAATTTGGAATTTTGGACGATTCCTAAATTTTCGTGTTCTATAACCCACACCTTCTGCATGGGTCCAACCCCCGACCCGGACCGTCTAAAATTTTTCCGGCCTATCAAAAACGTCCTAAGGAACAATGGTCACTACCTCGCCATGACCGTTACTCGTTATTTGGAGTTTTAGGGCCATAAAATTAGAGTTTCGCCCGATTTTTGATTTTTCGTGTGCTATAGCCCAAGCCTTCTGCATGGGCCGGGGGCATCGTACCCGGATCGCGTAATATTGTGCCGACCCATCAAAATCGTCCTAAAGAACAATAGTCGCCACCTTGCCATGACCGTTACTCTATTTTTGACATTTTATGGCCATAAAACTGAAATTCTGCCCGCTTCCAAGATTTTTGTGTGGTATAGACCACGCCTTCTACATAGGCCCAGATCACCGGACCCGGAACGCCTAAAATTTTGCCGACCCATCAAGAACGTCCAAAGGAACAATAGTCACCGTCTCTTCATGATCGTTACTCGTTTTTGGCATTTTAGGGCCATAAAACTGGAACTCCGCCCGATTTTTAAATTTTTATGTGCGATAGCCCATGCCTTCTTCTCGGGCCCGGGCTACCGGTCCCGGACCGCCTAAAATTATTTTGGCCCATCAAAAAAGTCCTAACAAGAAATAGTCACCGCCTCGCCATGACCATTACTCATTTTTAGCACCACAAAACTAAAATTCTGCCCGATTCCTAGCTTTTCATGTGCTATAGCCCACGACTTCTGCATGGGCCCGCGCCACCAGACCTGGACATCCTAAAAAAATTCCGACCTATCAAAAACGTCCTAAGGAACAATAGTCACTCCTCGCCATAAATGTTACTCGTTTTTTGCGTTTTAGGGCTATAAAATTGAAGTTTTGCCTGATCCCCAAATTTTCGTGTGCTATACTCCACGCCTACTGCATAGGTCCGGTCCATCGACTCGAACCGCCTAACATTTTGCCGGCTCATCAAAAACGTCCTAAGGAACAATGGTCACCACCTCGCCATGACCGTTACTCATTATTTGGAGTTTTAGGACCATAAAACTGGAGTTCCGTCCGATTTCAGATTTTTTGTGTGCTATAGCTCAAGCCTTCTGCATGGGCCCGGGTTACTAGACCCGGATCGCCTAATATTATGCCGACTCATCAAAATCGTCCTAAGAAGCTATAGTCACTGCCTTGCCATGACCATTACTCTTTTTTTAACGTTTTATGGCCATAAAATTGGAATTCTGTCCAATTACAAGATTTTTGTGTGCTATAGACTACACTTTCTACGTGGGCCCGGGCCACCAGACCCAGAACACCTACAATTTTTCCGGCCCATTAAGAACGTCCAAAGGAACAATAGTCACCGCCTCGCCATGAGCGTTACTCGTTTATGGTATGTTATGGCCATAAAACTAGAAATCCGTCTAATTCTTAGATTTTTGTGTGCTATAGCCCACGCCTTTTGCATGGGCTCGGGCCAATGGTCCCAAACCGCCTAAAATTTCGTTGGCCCGTCAAAAACGTCCTAGGGAACAATAGTCACCGCCTCACCATGACCATTACTCATTTTTTGGCACTTAGGGCCATAAAACTTTGAATTCCACCCGATTTTCAGATTTTCGTGTGCTATTGCTCACGCCTTCTGCATGAGCCCGAGACACCAGCCTGTACCGCCTAATATTTTGCCGGCCCGTCAAAAACATCCTAAGGAACAATAATCACCTCCTCACCATGGCCGTTACTCATTTCTTGGCATTTTAGGGCTATAAAACTTAAGTTCCACCAGATTCCTAGAATTTCGTGTGCTATAGCCCATGTCTTCTGCATGTACCCGGGCCACCGGTCTCGAACCGCCTAATATTTTGTATGCCCATCAAAAATATCCTAAGGAAGTATAGTCACCGTCTCACCATGATCGTTACTTATTTTTTGGCATTTTAGGGCCATAAAATATGAAATCCATCCGATTTCGAGATTTTCGTGTGCTATAGCCTACGCCTTCTGCATGGACCTGTGCCACCGCCCGGACTGCCTAAAATTTTATCGGCCCATCAAAAATGTCCCAAGGAAGAATAGTCACACTGTTACTTATTTTCTGACATTTTAGGGCCATAATATATGAATTGCGCCGATTCCCAGAATTTTGGTGCTACAACCCATGCCTTTTGCATGGGCCTGTGTCGTCGGACCCGGAACGGCTAAAATTTTGCCGGCCCATCAAAAACGTCTTAAGAAACAATAATCATAGTCTCGCCATGATCGTTACTCATTTTTTGGCGTTTTGGGGCCATAAAACTCGAATTTCGCCCGATTGCCATATTTTCGTATGCTATAGCCCATGCCTTTTGCATGGGCCCGTGCCATCGGTCCTGGGCCGCCTAATATTATGCCGGCCCATAAAAAACGTCCTAGGAAGAGTAGTCACCGCCTCACCATGACCGTTACTCGTTTTTTGGCATTTCAGGGCCATAAAACTAGAATTTTGCCCCATTCACAGATTTTTGTGTGCTATAGTCCACACTTTTAACATGGGCCTGGGCCACAAGACCCGGACAACCTAAAATTTTATCGGACCATCGAAAAAGTCCAAAGGGATAATAGTCTCCGCCAACCATTACCGTTACTTATTTTTTGGTATTTTAGGGCCATAAAATATGAATTCTACTCGATTTTCAGATTTTCGTATGCTATTGCCCACGTCTTCTGCATGGCCCCGGGACACCGGACTGCCTAAAATTTTGCCGGTTCATCTAAAACGTCCTAAGGAAGAATAGTTACTGTCTCTCCATGGCTGTTACGGATTTTTGGCATTTAGGGCCATAAAATTG